TATGGAACAAGAAAAGACCCCGAATAGCAAAAACGCTCCTCAACGGAAAGAACACTGCTGGAGGAATATCAATACCAAATTTCAAACTCTACTATAAAGCCATAGTAATCAAAACAGCTTGGTATTGGCATAAGAACAGACCTCAGGACCAATGGAATAGAATTGAAAACCCAGAAATGAACCTACAGACCTATAGCCATCTAATCTTCGATAAGGGAGCTAAAACAATAGAATGGAAGACAGACAGCCTCTTCAGTAAATGGTGCTGGCAAAACTGGTTAACTACATGTAGAAAACTAAAGCTAGATCCTTATATATCACCCTGCACCAGAATCAACTCCAAATGGATCAAAGACCTTGAAGTCAAAGCAGACACTCTGAAAACATTACAGGATGGAATAGTAGAAACCCTGGGTCTCCTTGGCTCAGGCCGAAATTTTCTGAATAGAGACCCGGAAACACAACAAATCAAAGAAAGGCTGGACAAATGGGATTGTATAAGGTTGCAGAGCTTCTGCAGGGCAAATGACATAGCTAGCAAGATCAATAGAAAGCCCACGGACTGGGAGAAGATCTTTACTAGCCATACAACGGACAAGGGTCTCATATCTAAAATATACTTGGAACTCAAAAAATTAAACCACCCAACAACAAATCCTCAAAGAAACAACTCCCCAATAAGTAAGTGGGCGAAAGACTTAAAGAGAAGCTTCTCTGAAGAAGAAAGAAGGATGGCCAATAGACACATGAAGAAATGTTCAACATCCCTAGCCATAAAAGAAATGCAAATCAAAACAACATTGGGATATCACCTCACTCCGGTTAGAACAGCAAAAATCAAGAACTCTAACAACAACAGATGCTGGAGGGGATGTGGACAGAAAGGAACCTTACTTCATTGTTGGTGGGAATGTAAACTTGTTCAACCACTTTGGAAAGCAGTATGGAGGTTCCTCAAAAGACTTCACATAGAACTCCCCTATGACCCAACAATCCCACTTTTGGGCATTTACCCAAATGTTTACAAACAAGATCACACTAAAGCTACCAGCACAACTATGTTTATTGCAGCATTATTTACTATAGCTAAGATATGGAACCAACCCAGATGCCCCTCAGTAGATGAATGGATCAAGAAAATGTGGTATATATACACAATGGAATTCTATGCCTCCATCAGAAAGAATGACATTGCCCCATTTGTTAGGAAATGGAAAGGCTTGGAAAAAATTACATTAAGTGAAGTAAGCCAGGCCTAAAGAAACATAGGTCCCATGGTTTCCCTTATTTGCAATATCTAGTATAGGTATGAGTCAAGTTGAAAAAGTCAGATAATGTGATGTTAGGAAAACGAACCCTCAAATATGTATTTTAATGTTTTTGTTTCTTTCATGCATGTGTTTCTAACGCATTTATAAGATTATTTCTTTGTTGCTTTGTATGTCCCTCCCCCACAGTGTAACCCCCACTTTCACTATATTTGATGTCAGTATAACATGTGGAGGAGACGGGGACAAACAAGTCGTTTAAGGATTCAGGTGGACCTGTTGCAACAATGAGAAGTACAAAATGACATGTCAAAACCAGCTTTACAATGTCGGTGGGGGGGAGGGGGGGTATGATTGGGTGGGGGAAGGGGGGAGGCTGGGAAGGGTGGTGAAGGGTAAACAAAGGAGGAGGCTGCAATGCTTGGTAAGAAATGTATGCATTATCCTGCCCATGTAATTGTAACCCCTCTGTTCTCAAATAAAATAAAATAAAATAAAATAAAAATTATATGTTGAAAACAAAGTAACATGTTGAAAGGAAATCATTCGAAAACAAATCCAGAGGGGGGGTATGGTTAATTAATAGTTAATTAAAATAGGCCCTACACAACTCTTAAGTTTTCTGAAATATGCCCATTGTCACTATTTCTTTCCTATGTAGTTGGCATGCAGGAAAACCTATGTTTGCATGCTAAAATATATCTGTATACATCCAGAAAAATCATAGCTTCCTCAGCTGCCATGTGTTAAATGTGTACAAATAAAGTACTTTTAACAATAAAACAATTAAGTTGATCAGATTTTGAGAAGTTATATTACAGTGGGGATTTGTTTTACAATGTCTGCCTTTCAGAAATGATACACTATTTGGGTAGTTTTGCTCCTCATAATTGCATCAAATGTTTAATTATATTATTTATACTTTTCTAAATCTAAAAGTATTAAAATGTTCTGGGATACAATTTTTGAACTATAAAAAAAAATCTTCTAAAAGCCTAATATACATTACTATAAATGATTTCTATCTTGTTTTACTGAGATTATAAATGATCTTCTTTCTCTTATTTTTCTCTCTTAATAATTGAAGATAGACAACATAATAAACTAGCACAGCTAGGAAAACCACAACTAAAAACAATAATTCAATGTGGGATGACATTACCCAAGTGTAACTCCTAAGTGTATAAACATCACTGCTTTTAACACTATGAAAACAGGCAGTCATGTTTCCTTATCTCCTAATAAGAAGTTTCATCCACATCCTGAAAGGGACACATTTTTTTTCTGCTTTGAGAAACATAATTTTGTAGTACTGTCATAAAAATCAAATTTCCTTCACAGTATCAGACTTTGTCACAAAATTTGAAGCACCATTTCCCATGAGACTAATGGAAATCCACTGTCAGGTTCTGTGTGTTTTCCTCCCCAGCTTTCTGTGATGCACTGACCCCAGGGAAACAGATCCACTTTACTCAAAAGATTTACTCTAAACTAATAAATACCATCCTAGAATGGTCAAATGGAAAGCATTCTTTTATCCTTTTCCTGTTATTTTGTTTTTTCTCTCTACCTGATTCATAAAATCTATGATATACTTGATCATATTGGAATGATTTAAAAAAAACATTTTAAGATGAAATTGTGGGTTTGAAAAATGCAAATGTCTTACAATATCAGCTAAGATTATTTAAGTGATTAAAAGTTAGAATTTTATACAGCTTTATCATTAAACCAATTTATTTTACTACGTATGAACCCAGTTTGCGTCAAATAGTTACTCATTTTGGAAATCTTTTTACAAAACATAGTTTTACATCCACAAGTACTCCTTTGTTACAAAGTCCAAACTTCATTTTAATATCAAAGCTGAGATATTTGCTTTGTACTTGCTCTTACATTTCATTTTCAGCATCATTCTTCTTCCCATTTAATGAGCTGTGAGCTCCAGGAATCAATGACAATCCTCCAAGCAACAAACATGCTGTATGTATCAAACAGGTGTTGCTTGGTTTGGAAGTCTTTTGATAGTACCTTCACCAAGCTGTCAATAACTTCAGATCGCTTCAGGATGATAGAGATATGTAAGTAGCCAATTTATTTAAGAATTATGCAAGCTGGGCACTGGTGGCTCACAACTGTAATTCTAGCTATTCAGGAGGCTCATGGTTTGAAGCCATCCTGGGCAGGAATGTCCATGAAACTCTTAGGTCCAATTAACCACTAGAAAACCGGAAGTGGAGATGTGGCTCAAATGGTAGAGCTCTGAAAGATTAAAAAAAATAGAAGGAAGGAAAGAAGGAAGGGAGGGAGGGAAGGAGGGAGAGAGAAAGACAGGAAGGAAGGAAGGAAGGAAGGAAGGAAGGAAGGAAGGAAGGAAGGAAGGAAGGAAGGAAGGAAGGAAGGAAGGAAGAGGGAGGGAGGGAGGGAGGGAGGGACGGAGGGAGGGAGGGAGGGAGGGAGGGAGGGAGGGAGGAAAGGAAGGAAGGAGGAAAGGAAGGAAGGAAAGTAGATAAGTTAGAATTCAAATAATTTATAATTCTAAACATGTTTGAAATATACAGCTAGTACTTCAAAGCTTTCCTATTTACATTATACAGGTCAATATATTGTTAGAATATTCACATAATTTTTACTTTATCAACAAAAAGTAAACATCAGACATTTTTATTGACCCCCCCCAAACTGAATTTCTTCTTGGAAATTTTTATCTGGAATGAATTACAATTCATTATTTTACATTAGTATATTCTGCAACCTTGTAGAACTTCCTACTTTTAATGGATTTTTAATGACTCCCTTAAGTAACTTTATTAATAAGAACATGGTATTTGAAGCTAGAGATTATTTTACTTCTCCTTTCAGTGGAGATGAGGTTACTTTGATGTTAAATTATCAACAGAAGCCATCAGCATGTGTAATTTTTCTTTATTTCTTTTTTTGCATGTTTCTTCATTTTTTAAAATTTTATTCATTTATTTTTATTTTTAAATTGGGAAAATACAGTACAGAGGGGTTACAATCACATGGGCAAGGTAATGAGTGCATTTCTTATCAAGCTTTGTTGCCTCCTCCTTTGTTTCCCCTTTCCATCCCTTCCCTTCTCCTCCCCCTCCCCCAGCACCGCCTCCTGGCCAAAGTTGTATGTTAGGCCAAATGAAACTCAAGATAAGGATTCAACTGGTTTTTTTTTCTTTCTTGCGATTGTTTCTAATATATTTCTAAGTTATTCTTTTGTTGCTTTGTATGTCCCTCCCCCATGGTATAACCCGTTTTCACTGTATTTGATGTTGGTATAATTTGTGGAAGGGAAAAAACAAATTGTTTACCATTTTTCTTTATTTCTAATTGTCATGGAAACTATTTGGTCTTTCAACATCAAGTATAATTTGTGTGTGTATGTGTGTATTTTCATTCTCTTCTAAAATTGCATCTCATCAACTGAGTTACATTGAATTTAAACCTATGAAATTTTTATCATAAATGGTTTTTAGATTTTTCCCAAATATTTTTCTTATTGAAATAATAATGAATTGTATCCCTTTATTTTGTTGAAATAGTACATTGCTGGTTAAATACCTGAAAATGTTTAACCAACTTTGCATTGCTACCATGAAGCATATTCCTGTAGGGCTGTATAACCTTTTATTTATATACCAAGAGACATTTGTATGTTTATATCATTCAAGGGCAATACAAAATAATATAGACACAGTAGGTCATTAAGAAGAAGCATAGAAGAAACAGACATATTTTTATTAACAATTAAAGTGAACCACCTCAACATTTGTATAAAATAACTACTTTTCAGACTGTCCCTACTCTTTCTGCCAGTATCAGAATTCTGTTTCTTCACAGTCAATGTATACACATTCTTATTGAACAGTATTTGCACTCATGTTGTGGTAGAAAGTACTTTGGGAATATATTTTTGGCCTCTATCAAAATGATGTGACATGTTTTACAGCTCCCTTTAAGTAAGAAATTTGACTGCTAAAAGAAATCCTAATTTTTAAATTTTGGTTATCTGTATAAGTCCTACTCAGTTTACAAGTCATTTTGATTATCTATACATAACAAAGAACAAGTTAATAAGTCACATTAAAATTTTTAAGACTAAAATAATTAGATATATTTTAAATTATCTCACATTGGCTCAGCTGGATGCTGGAAAATCTGTTTAATTATTTATATGTCATATAGTATAAGTCTGTGAAGTTTACTTGCTTTTACAAAGAGATCTTTTTCAGAAACTATTAAGTAGGTTGTTTGTCAGAGTAATATGGTAAACAAAACACTTAAGCATATATGAAACTAGTTGATTTTGTTTGATAATTCTTTGAAATATACATGACATAGGACAATGTACTTTAAATCAGACTTCTTGTAAAATACATATCAAAACTTTCAATCATTCATGCCTGTTTGTATTGAAATAAAAAAACAGAAGCCATTGTTTAGCTAGAGGATATTCTAATGTTTAGCATGTGTTTTTGTCTGAAATGAAGGCCATTCATTAGACAATCAAGCAGAGTACATTAACAAAGCAATTTTTATCATGATTGTATTAAAATTGAATTTTTATTACTTCATTTGTATAACAGGTCACAATCAGCCAGATTATTTGCTGAGTCATAACGCAGCTCATATTTCCAAGAATGCTATTATTTTTTAATCTTAAGCATTTTATACAATTACTTCTGAGGACAATATAGTTTACATTATGTTCCTCTTTTTCTTCCATTAAAGGCGTTTGAAGTGCTGATCCTCTTCATCTTCTGCAGGCAAACGCTACTTCATAAAGACATGATTAGCTGGTTCTAGGTGTCCAGTTCCCACATATTGAACTTTGTCCACTGATTTCTTCCCTGATTGCCTGAAACACAGGTCACAGGAAATGATTTCCAAGCTTTCATTCTAGCTTTTATTGACTCCAATGAAAACCTGCTCAGAACATGAAGTTGCCACAATACACTTCATTCTTACCATTCTGCTTGGTTAAAAAATTCTTGGAATCCTCAAATATATGTGTGTTTGTGTGTGTATATGTGTGTGTGTATAATGTGTATGTATATGTTATGCATATATAATGTGTCTATGTATATATACATGCACATACAAACAAATCACATACTTTTTACTGTGAGAGATGGATAAGCTGAGACTTTAATTTCTAATAATAACTTTAATATACTCACAAATATTATCTATGCTGAAAATTGTATTTTAAATCACAAGCATGAACTCCAATGATTTTAATAAGGAATATCACCTCATGGTTTTCAATAGATTCACATTCCTTGAGCTTCCTCTGCTCTTATAAGAAGCGGGTAAAATATTAACTAAAAAGGAAAACCCTCCAATCCATTGTACTCCTTAATATGACAGAGAAAAGAAAGCTTTAACAGGGTATGCTCATGGACTATTGTTAGAGGTACTTGCTAAGAAATAGAAGAGTAATGCTTTATAGAACTTAGAAAGATAAGAGAGAGGTGAATTACATATGGTGAGTTTGGGAAGACATCTATAAAGTTAGTCTCAAAGTGAACAATGCAAAATTTGTAAAGTTATCACAAAATCACTTATTCTAAATGATCGTACAATTATTAACTTAAAGTTATTCATTATAATCTCAGCAAGAGTACCATGTGTTCAAACAGTTCAAAATCAGCCTTAGCATCTGCTTTCATTGTGATGTTGGCTTAGTTATTCATGAATTCTTTCACTCACTGAGATATGTGATTTAAGTAAAATAACTGCAAAGCATTTTACCAGTGAACTATTTGTACCAAACAAGGTAGAATTCCATCCAGCCTTTCTGACTTTCCAATCTAATTAGAAAAACCCACGAACTGATAATTGTTTAGATATATCAGGCAAACATTTTTTTTTAATCTAACAACATAAAATGACTGGACATAGTCTAAGACAATGTTGTGTGAAGTAGAGAAAGTAGCATTAAAACCAGACTCAATTAAAAGTGCTCTTGACTACAAGAAAATGCATAAAGACTAACAAGGAATGGAAACTAGAGGGAGTATAAGAATATACCAGAATGACAGGAGTCTTTCTCAGAATTCTCAGAACAGAAAAAAAAATGGAGAAGTAGATATGAGCCAGTTAAATCCTTAGAGAACTAAGTAATTATTTTAGGCATGAACTTTGAAGCACAGTAAATTGCCTCAGGATTTTATAAGTGTATAAGTGACATAAACTGTCAGATTTTTTTAAGAACATTTTTAGTCTGTGTAGAAATTTAATTGGTTTATCGTGTTATAATTATGCAAAATCCAGCTAGATGCATAGCATAGCTACACCAACAAGAACTTTTACTGTCTTAGAAAAGTTGTCATTAAAGGAATATGCAACATGCAGTAAGGACAGGCTTACTAGATGTTTAGATGTACCATTAAATGATAATTTAACAGTTGTAAGTGCTAAGTATTGGCATAGTAGATTTTCTGGTTGGTTGTAACACAGAATGCATGGAAACTACAGGATCATTCATTTAAGCAACTGAAAATGTGGCTATTAATTTGCTCAATATTGTAATCAGATGTTTGGTAAGTATCCTTATAGATTTATTTTTTGTTAATTCTTCTTGAGGCTAACTGATTATCTGATGCCTCTTGCAATAACCAATCTTTTTCTCCCACTGGATTTATTGGGTCTCCTTCATCTGTAATCCAGCTTTCCCAATGGTAGATTTGAAACAAAAAGAAAAGCAAAAGACAAGATATAATATATATATATATATATATATATATATGTTTTTGAATGTCCAAATTTTGTAAGCTCAACTAATATGAATTGAAGGTAATCTATGAAAATGCAAGTAAGACTAGAAATAAATTCTCATATTATCTGGGCATCTTTGACTATCATGTACTGAAGCTCTCTATTTCAGTCAATGATTTGAATATTATATTTGCATACATATAGAAGCCATTTTAATAGCCTTTTGTTTTTATTGTTAAAGGTAAAAGTTTTTTAAATTGTTATTGTTATTATATTATAATATAATAAGGTTATATATTAGATATTCCAGTTACATATGTCAAGTCCCTAATGCTCTCCCATTTTTTCTCTCCAATCCCCATCCAGAAGTTGTATAGTTCATTTCCAATGCAGGGTCTAGTGAGTACCCTTACTACATTTATTTACCATTGTTACTCCATTTACATGTTACTCCTCTTACATTCCCAAAGATACATAAACGAACAAAGTGAAAAAAAAAAAGAAAAGAAATTTGCCCATTGTCACTCCATTTCTGTGCTCCTCTTACACTCCCAAAGACACATAAATGAACAATCTGAAAAAAAGAAATCAAAAACAAAAGAGAAACTCATTTTGACTTATATTAATTCTTATCAATGAAGTGTAATTTCTTTAATCAATTGCTGGCAGTTTCAAAATAGCACTTTTTTATATTCCTTCTCTATACTAAGTGGTGCATTAAAGTTAAAGGATACTGTTTTATACTTGTTATATAGCATCATCCTTGATCTTGGCAAATCAATACTATTCTAATGTAGTAAAAATATGTTGTACTTTAGCCTAGAATCTTGAAGTAATGATAGGAAAAGGAACTGAAGTTGCTCCTGTGAATGCAAAGTAGACCATTCGTAGTGACAGGTCAGCATCTACCAGGATCTGGGTTGAATTCTTAACAGTCACACAGAGTCATTTCAAAAAATATGATGACATACTCTTTCTTCTAAAGGACAAGTAATGACAAAAATGAATAAGTGAATAATTGATACATCCCAATATTCAAATTAATGCATACTCCTTAATTTGTGGAGTTTATTTGCATGCTCCTAGGTAAGTTTACGCAAATATATGTATGAATATGTGTAACTGTGTTTAAACTACCCATTCCATATTTCTCTCAGATGACTCAATTTCTTTTCTTTCAATTAAAATTACACCCATAAGAGGACAAAAAGTTGATCTGTAACCACCAGCATTTGAGATTGTAGGAACAAGTATGGAGGCAATTCACAGTGCAACTGCTTTTACTTGTAGGAGAAGAGAATTCATCTGCCACTTCATTTATTTCCTCATAACTCATGGGTAATTAATTGGTCTGGAAGAACTCCCATTATACTTCTTTTGGTCATAAAAGAAATGATATTTCAAATCTTTCATTTCGTATTGATCAGCCTTTTTCATAAATTAATATGGCCTTCTCAACACAACTGGTCTAACCTTTAGAATGGATTTTGCATCTCCTTGTTTGATACAAAATGCTTTGATATTCCTTGTGAAAAGAACAAGTATATTAGTATATTAGTATATTCCAATCCTTCAAAATATTTTCTCAAATATTGTCCATATCTCTCCAAAATAGCTTTAATTATTTTTTAAAAAGAATATTTCTAGTTTGTTGAAAAGCAAAATAAAATGTTTTGACATTTTCTTCTCTCCTTAATGAGATAATCAAATCAATATTTGCAATGCTCAATAAAATCAGTCTGCATATATTACAAAAGAGTAGTGTAATTATAATTTGGTTTTGTGAAAAGATAGCTAATTTTAGCTACAGCTCTCATCTCCACATCAATATATTACTTAGCTAGCCTGTAATTCAAGTAAGAACAAAGTAATTTCAGATGAACTTTCTCCAGTTTAAGGGATAAATTACAATAGAAATGGCAAACATTAATAACTTCCAGTGGTTTCTGACTATTACAAACAACACTATGTATTAGATATTATAACCAACTACAGAAGCAGCAAGGTAAATCTCAAAAGAGAGGAGAGTCCCAGTGTGTTCCTTTGTGGTCCTCTCTTCAGGAGTAAAGTTTTAGAAATTGATCAAAACTCACAGTAACAACAATCATAATGGGTTCAGTAAATTTTCAGTAATATATATATATATATATATATATATATATATATATATATATATGTCTGGTATTTTATTTCAATGATGTACAGTTTACATTTGATGTTTATTGTATGTCTCTCATAGATCACCAAACAAATCTGCTCGTGAAAACACTCAGGGTTGAGAGTTTTCACTCTGTTCCGGAAGAATCTCTAATCATCACTACGAACAATAAATGTGGAAAAATCACCAACTGCATTTCAAGAATTCAGTCCTTAAGGAAGTCACATCATTGCTGATCATACCTAGTCAGTCAAAATGAGTCCAGAAAAATTCAGCCAAAGAAATTAAATGTATATAAATATTTGGGCAGTAATAGAGTTTGAACTCAGAACTTTACATCTTTTTGTTGTTGTTATTGTGGTTTACTATTTAAGAGTTTTTGGCTATTTCAGAGTTTTTGTTTTATTTAGACTTATGGTTAGCTAGGGTTTATTGTTAGGAAGGACAACTGTTCTACCTGCAGCCATCTACATAGTTGAGAGGCTGTCGGAGCAAATCACACAGCACACTCACAGAGGTTCAGTCTTTTAAACTTCCTTACTGAAGCTGGCCTGGAACCATGATTGTCTAGATTTTTTTTTACCTCCTGCACAGATGGTTTGAAGATCTAAATGGCTTTGCTCTAGGTCAACATTTCTTCAAAAACTACATTAAATTGTAACCATGGTGCTACTTTTTACAAAGGAAAATAAACAGATTTTATATTCATAAATATGATGCATCCAAATATAAAGAACTCTATCTATGGTTGCTGAAATTCAAATACCTATAAATCAAAAGGTAGAGTTCCCCACACAGCAAGTAAAAGCTGATGAAACAGGAAGATTATACCTCCATGGAAAAAGAAGAGTACTGATGTCCCAGAGATTTTGGTTCACAGCAGTTTCATAAGGGAAGGGTAATCACAGAGGTATTCACTCTCTGGTGGTGAGCAGGATACATTTTTGTTCAGAGGCCCAAAAGATCTGTTCGGAAGAGAGGTCTAAATCTATGACACTTTACTGTCATAAATTCTATGTTTCCACTGTGCCCATTGTCACAGATGAAGTGGAAAGTGTTTACTATCAACAAGTGAGCAATATTTGTATCTCACAAGATCACTTGAAGGTTCATCTCCATTCTGTATATGGACAACTGCATTTTTATAGCTATAGTAACATAGTTGCTGTGTACCCAGATCTCCTGTTCTCCTGGTGGTTTACTTCTGTATATGCATGGCAAGATTTGTACGTTTTTGCTTTTCAGGTATATGGAACAATAGACTCATGGAACTTTTTTTTTCTTTTGTTGACCGTGGGACTTGAACTCTGGGCCCGGGCACTTTCTCTGTGTTCTTCAGCTCAAGGTGAGCGCTCTACCACTTGAGCCATAGCACCACTTCCAGGTTTCTAGTGGTTTATTGGAGATAAGAGACTCACCGAGTTTCCTGCCTGGGCTGGCTTTGAACCATGATCCTCAGACCTCAGCCTCCTGAGTAGCTGGGATTACAGACCTGAGCCATCGGTGCCTGGTTGGCACAAATTTTTTGATGCGGTTGTTTGCACAATTTTTTTGTTTTTGCCCAAATGTTTCGATGGAGAATGTAAAAATAAATCATCCTTTAATATCAAACCTTAACCAATTTTTTCAACCAATAAGTTTATTTGTTGACATTTATTTTTTAAAAGTTTGAGTTAAATAATTCCTAGTTATCAAAAGTATCTCTTCATTTTGTAGTTGAAAATAACTAATTCTCTGAACATTTAGACTCCGTTTATTAGTTAAAGGTATGTTTGCTTCAAATTTCATCTATTTTTTTAAATTTAGCAACCAACAAGGTAGTGACTTAAATAGTAAAGAAAAGGTGGCCTAGGACTATGTGACTGAGTATAAACTGAAATAGAATCAGTTTTCCAAGTGGTCAGCACTGAAGAAATGACAAATAATATGTGTGTGTGAATAAATACATGCACACAAACATATACATGCATGCACCATAAAAGTATGTCATTCGTAGGACAACATAGAACTGAGATCATTAGATTTTCAGTGATTTCCTGAAGCTCAAAAGCCAAGTTTCATGTATTTTTACTATTTATGAAATTTCTACCTAATCTAATGATGATAATGTTTATGATAATACCATATAAGCATAAAAGATGTTTGTTTGTTGGGAGGGTGAATAACAATGAAGTATATTTTAGACATGTGCATATACACATATTTATATGAACTCCTATTTATTTGTAAATATATATATAAATATATAATTTATGTGTATATAAATATGTATAGGAATAAATATTTATAAATTCATATATATATGTATATATGAAGTCAGAACAATAAAATCCACCTAAACTCTGTTGGAGAAAGTAAATTGAAGAAGACAAGGGATATAATAGAAAAGGTAAGTTATTTCAAACCATGTTGTGAACATTTATAAAACCCCTCAGAGTATTAATACATACTAATTCAAAATTGAATTTAAATATAAAAAATAAACTACAAAAATCTAAAATCACTGAGAACAGATAATTGTAGGGTTATATGTTCAATAAATTACAAGAAAAACAAAGACATTTTGCCTTTCTACATGCTATCAGTTATACTCAGAAGGGATGGATAGACAAGCAATATTTAGAAAATTCAGAATTTAAATGGCATGAACTTGTGTAGGATAGGACTAACACCTGAGCTATTTGCTTTAGGAGTTCATAATTATGGTAATATACTAAGAACTGTGGAGCTGCAACTTTTTGTAAGCGTACAAGTGTTTGTGAGCCAGTACCAAGGGCTGAACTCAGAGCCTCATATTCTTACTTATCGTTTTTTTCTGCTATATTTTGAGTGGTTATTTTTATTGCTATTGTAAATATGTGATATACAGAGGGATGACAATCACATAAGTCAGTAATGAGTATATTTCTTTTTGAACAGTGTCTCCTCTTTCCTCATTTTCTCCCAGTTTTTTTCCTTAATTTACAACTCTACCATTTGAGCACTTTACTTTGGTGTTTGATTGGAATAAGGGTCTCTAGGATTTGTCTTTTCTGTGCTGGCTTCCAATTGGGATCTTCAGATCTCAAACTCCAGTACATCTAGAACTGGTCATGAACCACCCCTGCCCAGGAACTGTACATTTTTATTTATCTCTCTTGATGAAAATTATCATCTAAGTACAGCAGACACAGAAAATAACTTTAAGTACACTGATTTGCAAAATAATTTACCTGCAGTGCTGAAAAAATGTCTCAGTGGTAGAGTGCTTGCCTCGCATGTATGAAGACCTGGGTTCAGTTCCTCAGCACCACATAAGCAGAAAAAGCCAGAAGTGACACTGTGGCTCAAGTGGTAGAGCGCTAGCCTTGAGCTGAAGGATTGAGGGACAGCATCCTGGACCAGAGTTCAGGCCCCACCTGACAAAAACAACAAATAAACCAAAAAAACCTGCTAAATCTATTCAGGTTGCTGAAAAACTATACTATTACAGAAAGGAGAAAACACAAATTTGTAGTGAGCACTCAGGAATTTGGCTGAGTTTTCCAGCAATAGTATATAATACCTGGTTGAACTTGGCAAAGTTCAAAATCTATTTTGTCTTCTCAGTTGCACAAATAATTAGGGAATAATTTGAATTATACCAATTGTTTGGTTGTTATGAAGAATCAATAATTAGAGATATGAAAATTTCCTTGATCTGTGACTTAATATTGTAATTCAGATTATGTAGTTAATTAATACCTGAATTGTCTGCTCTTGAGCTTTTTTCCCCTTTAAAATGCAACCACCATTTCTCTAATACAAACTCCTGTCAGCTTCCTCAAGGGCTCTGTGAAATTTAGTTATATTCTCAAAATCATAAATCATCTGTCAAGATTAGCATGTCTAGGCAAACAATCTATTACAAAGAGATTAAATTTTAATTTTTAGGAGAATAAATACTATCCAAGAGAAAGAATACCCTTGTTAAATGAAAATACATCTACACATAGGCACTTATAATTGCATTTAGGACAAGATTTGACTTTTGAATGTAAAAAGATAAAGTGCCAAACAACAGAGATATGTTCAGTATTTTCTTTGTATAGTGTCAATGTGTATGTTTATATGTAACTCTTACTATTTAATGAAAATAAATTTTTAATTGCTTGACATCAGGAAATGTTATGCTTTGCTCTAACTTAGGTTAAAAGTATCCTAAATGAAGCCAAATGATTACCAATTGGTTGTCTGTTTCTGAAGTTTTATAGCCTTAGTATTCAGAGTATTAAACTCATTGTGACACAATTGAATGGATAAAGCAATCAGAAACACATATCTGTTTAATTAAAATATATTTTATTTTATATTAAATTTCAGTCTATTAATTTAACATATTTTCTTCTGTGTAATCAGTTGCTTACCAACATGCATATAACAACATAAACAAGCTAGTGTTTGGGGATAATGTAGTTAAAACTTAAAATGGCCATCAGATGGCGATGCATCCCCTTACATGAGCTTACCAGACTTACTAGAGTTTATCTCTTGAACAATACAAAATTAATTTTGATAGGCTGAATCATATTTGTTATTGAATATGTCAGCAGATAAATGTTTTTGTCATTATTTTATTCTGTAAATGTCTCACTGCCCAATAAATATTTCAAAATATATTTTTATTAAATGCTTCAAAATATTTTCAAAAATCAGGAAGCACTCATTTTATAATTTCTTTAGGAAAATGTACCTTTCAAAATATTAGTTACGCATATAAAGGTCAGTTGAGGAAATTCGATTTAATTAGGAACAGTTCAGATAGTTTTAAAAGGTACTTAATTCCCAAGAGCTCACACTACAGTGGAAAAAAGAAAAGAACATATTTATAATATAATTTCATAAGACATTGGAGCAGAGAGCTTTGAGCAGAGAACAAAAGTGTAGTTGGATTGCAAAAAAACTGATAGAAAAATATCTTCATAGAAAATGTATTGGTTTAGTTGCATTAGAAATAAAGTCAATATTTTCCCAACTGTGAGATAGAGAAATGTTACTTAAGGGAGATCAGTGTAAGGAAAAATAAGTAAGGAATGTAAAAAATATTCTTGGATTTTAGGAAACTGATTATCTGCGTGACCACAGTGTAAGAGTAACATCAGAGTGAAGAGAGAAAAAAAGTGAAGCACATAGGTTATGATTCATAAAGCCATGAGAATACAGAATTTTCTGAACTTATTATAAGGTAAAATGAGAACCAGTGAATATTATAAAGCAATGAGAAATTAATTAGGACCAGGTGGCAATGGCTTGTGCTTATATTCCTAGCTACTCAAGAGGCTGAGAATCACAGGTCAAAACAGTGAGTAGTTGAATCCATGCACCTCTTATCTCCATGAAACCAGAAAAAGGATGTTAAGGGAAGCGTGGCTTAAATGATCCACCAAGTGAAGTAAGAGTGTGAGGTCCTGAGTTCAAGCCACAGTATTAACATTCAAAATATGGTTTGCTAAACAGCTGTGCAATCAGAGGTCATTTCGGGAGCCTGGAAAACATCAATGAAAGCCTCAATCAAACTATAGGAGGGGAGCTGAAATGAAAGGAAGAGACAGAAACATATGTGCATGAATCCTTACCTCTGTGTTGTACTTTGAAGTATGAATGGAGATCAAACCTCCATATGCTCATATTTTTTTCAAATTAGTTCTCAAAAACCATGTGGCTTATTACACAGGAGCAGCAACAAGAGCATTTCCTTAGTGGAGTGGACAGAATCCTTGCTGACTATATGTACAACCACCACATGATTTAAATGAGGGAGAAGAATAAAGTATTTCTTTTTTTTCAATTCAAGGTTTTATTTTAATAAGTTTTTTATTGTAGAAATACTGTACAGAGGGGTTACAGTTGCATGAGCAAAGTCATGAGTACATTTCTTATCAAGCATTGTTGCCCCCTCTTTTGTTTTTCCCCTACCATCCCTTCCCTCTCACCTCCACAACTACACTCCCCCCACACACCTAAATTGTAAAGTTCGTTTTTCAACCTAGTGTCTTGTACATCTCATTGTTACAATGGTTCAACCTGTATCCCTATTTAAATATTTTGTTTTTTCCCTTCCCCTCCCCAAATTATACCGACATCAAATACAGTGAAAACAGGATATACCGTGAGGGAGGGACATACAAAGCAACAAAAAAAAAAAAATCACATGGTACCTTATAAATACATTAGAAACAATAGCAAGCAAGCAAGAAACAAACAAAAAAAAACTTGTGTCCCTGTCTTGGGGTTCATTTCGCTTAACTTCATCTCATATGTACATAGCTATTGACATTTTCTACTTCTGAGACCTTTATATTTGATAAGACTCAAAGCACCTGTTACCCATGTACAGGTAAGACACTGAGACCTAAATAGGAGGTGAATAATTTTAAGTTGGATAAAGGGAGTAAATATACTTATTTGAGATTTGATGTAGTTACCTTCTGAAGTAGCGTTACATTTCCATAGGTACCTGAAGTCATGTGAACCAGACTGAAACTTAAAGATATGTAAGGTACAGAAAAGATTTGACACTCAAATTAAAAAGAAAAAAAAGTAACTTTTTAGAATGAAATAAAAAGAGCCATAAAGAAAAAGAGCCATAAAGAAAATGTGTACATATACAGACATTCTTACACAGAATAATACAATATTACCAATAGCTAATATGTAGTAAGGGCTTATCTGGTATCAAATATTTGGTTAGATGCTTTGAATTCATTAGTTTTCTTTACTTTCCCAAACAATTTTAGAAAGCAGAACTAGAATGGGCGCCGATGGCACACGCCTGTAATCCTAGCTACTCAGGAGGCTGAGATCTGAGGATGGCAGTTCAAAGCCAGCCTGGGCAGTTAAGTCCATGAGACTCTTATCTCGAATTAACCACCAGAAATCCAGAAGTGGCACTATGGCTCAAGTGGTAGAGCACTCTCTTTGAGCAGAAAAGCTGAAGGACAGTGCCCAGGACCAGAGTTCAAGACCCATTACCCGGAAGAAAAAAAACATAACTGGGATGATTCCAATTTTATTTTATTTTTTAGTAAAATACACATAAAGAAGTGACCAACTTAGTCATCCTTTAGTAACTGACCAACCTTAGGGAGATGGGACAATGTCCAATCCTAAACTTGGATCATATAAATCTATTATTTGTTCTTTTCTTTCCCAGATTTTACTGTCTTGTAACATGGATGTCAAAATCTCCTTGAACTTGAGACTCTCCTGTCTCAGCCTCAGGAGAATGGGGTTATAGAAAAGTATCAGTGCTCACATTTTTAATGTACATAGTTCAACACAGTAAACACTGGGAAAGGCGATCATAGTTCAACCACAATATTCTGTGTTTGGTCATTGAAGTTATTCCAGGATGAGAGTCTCTTTATTCTGAGTTTAGATTAAAGCAAGAACTAATTAGTGTGGGGAGGGGTTGTCACTACATGTTGGTCAGGACCCCAGGACGAATTTAGCTAAAGGAAGAAGCTTTGGAAAGCATAACAGGACTCTGATCTTGACACTGGGCATCTTTCCAAAATAAAATTAAGTTTTTAAAAATGAAAACTTTCAGCCAAAAAAGAGAAAATGTTGATGTATCTGGGCACTCCTCTATGTCACTGATTCAGGAAAAAAATATGTGAAATAAATACTGATGATGAGTGCTTCTCATGGAACGTGTAAAACAGTCTTCTTGAAACGCTAAGCTCTGCCTCTCAAGCTTTATGTAGCAAAGTTGTCCCTAAAGGCAAAAAATATGCCAAATTTGGGATTGGAAGAAATGTCCTAGTGGTGTCATTATCTTCTTGTATTTGGAAACCAAATAGTAATTGAACACACACATGAAACTTAAGTTCAGTATGTATAACGTAGTGACCAGAGAACAGCAATGAAAATAAGAAATGAATATGCCTAAAATACTTATTTTTTAAAAATTATTAACTAAATTTTTATTATGGCTAAAGATGGCGACCAGTGATTATGGGTTAATCTTGCCTATGCACTTCAATACTGTGGCATCTAAGTATGTACTAATTAAATTTAAATTCACCTCTATTAACTACATTTAAATAAATTAAATGCACAGTAGTTCAGCCACAACAGTCACATCTCAAGGGTCCAAGGAAGGTAACAATTGCTGTACTTCCTACTTCAGTAAGAGAATCTCTTCCTTAACCTAGGCTGGCCTTACATTCTTCTCACCTCGATTAAACTTGACAGTTTTCTCCTCCTCTTTCTTTCCTTTAGGCTCTTACTCTGCTTTATTAGAACATTTTTAAAAAATTGTAATTGTAATTTTTTCCTCT